ATTAAACATATCTACTATATTAACTATATTAAACATATTAAACATGTTAAATATATTTGACATTATCGACATTTGTATTTCATTACACATTTGTAGATCTATGATCATCAAGATCATCACCCGGTTACAACAATATTATTGAAAAATATAATATTCTTCAGGCGGGATTACCAATAGTATTAACAAATCTTACAGAATTATTTAAAGGTGATTTGATTTACTTTATCCATTATCGATTACCTAATGATTTTAAGAATACTGAAAAGAAACTGTTTCTGTGGCATGTAGTGAAAGCCAATTCATGCAATTTTTAAAAATTATATACATTTTTACTCAAGGAAAACTAGTATTTATAGGTGTTAGTTTCATGAAAAAGAAGGAGAACAAAAATTAACACAAATATTTGGGAGAGCGAATTGGGAAGTAAAATATTATAATTAGAATTAGAGAACTTTTGTAGTTTTAACAGATAATCAATTTTTACCAAAACAAATCTCATCACATGTATTAGACCAAAAATCTGAAATTAATCCTTTAACAGTAGCTATTACTAAAAAACTTAGCACAGTTGCTTCAAAATCTAAGAAAACTTCTAACAAATATAAACATGAAGAAATAGTTGTAGAATGGAAAAATAAACATGATAAAAATGCTAATAGTAATATTTGTAGTGCCGGGTTCATTTATTTTCATTTTTATACAAAACAAGCATATATTTTATAATTTTAGTTAATAAAATTAATAAAAAAATTTTATTAAATGATATTTTTTTTAAATTTTTATTATATTTAAATTAAATATTAACTTGAACTTAGAGTTTTTCTATTTTAGAATAAGTTTGAGAAATATCATGTGTAGTATAATAAAGTTTTCGATTTTCAAATTCAAGAAGTTGAATAATTGCTGATTTTTGATTTACACCTTCACCTTTTAAAGTTTTGTGAAAAAACTCAGAAATTTGTTGATGATTTTTTTTTCAACTATAGCACACAAAAAAGATTTCAACCTCCATTTTTATGCTTTTCCATTAATTCATGAACATAATATATAAGAATATGAATATATGGTGTAAGATCATTAGGTCAATATAATCCTTAAATAAAATTATTATTATTTAGTGTTTCAGTAAATGGTGTAAGAAATAATTTTAACCAATTTTTTGCATTTTCTTTAAATTCTTTAGAATTGGTGTTTAGATTATGCATCATCATATATAAATTGTAAAATTCATCCCATAATTTTCTAATTATTTTTGCACACGATAGTGATAATATTTTATTAAGATCAAAAAATTAAAGCACCTTCAATTTATCTTCACCCATTAATGATGTATGATTTCAAGTTTGTGATTCTTTTTCTTGCCAAAATTGAAATTGTACTTTGATTTTATTCATCTCTTTAACTATAATTTCTCTTACAATATTATTAAAATAACCTGTTTCTTTAATTTCATGTAAAATTAGATTCTAAAGTCGATCAGTTATACGTAACATTATATGAAGCTCATCTGGAATCTAGTGTACAAACTAGACCTTAGCATATACTGGTTAATTATCTGTTGTAAAAAAAAAATTCCAGATTTTTTAAAAAAAAAACCTTAAAGTTATCTGGCATATATTCAAAATTTCTGGATTTATATAAATTTAAAATTTTTAATAATATCCAATTTAAACCTTTATTTAATATTAATATATAATAAAATAATAATAATAAAACTAATTTTTAAACCCTTCTATTATGCATTTTTAATCAAATTGCAAATGCTTGATTAAAATCAAAATCTTCTATTTGTATATCATCCAAACTAACTAATAATAATAAATGAAGAGTATTATTACTAAGCCTATTACGATGATCTGTTTTAATAATATTTTGCTTAGAAGATCTGCATTCACATTCTACACTAGAAAAGTAAATACTATAAACAATTTCTATAAGTTTTATTATATTAGGATAAGTAGTTGAATAATTTTCAAATAAATGAGGAAAAAATTCTTTAATATTAAAATTTTGATAATTTCGATAAACATTTTCCTTAAAAAGATACTATTCATTTCTTATATTTTCAGAATCAATTATTGAAATAGGATAATTTGGTAAATAAGATTTTCCATAAAATCTAATCAATTCTTCTAATTCTGTATCTTCAAATTTTATCAACTTCTCTTTATTTTTTGGTCATTCTTTTAGATTAAGTATTTGCATTGCATTTAATAATAGACGATCTGGAAATTTTTTTTGAATCTCCAAAATAACTAAAGAAGCAAATCTAAAAATATCTGCCATTAATTCACTTTCACAATTTTCAGTTAATGTTAAATAATGTGTACCCATAAATGATGGAGAAGATGGTAGAATTTGTTAAATAAATTGTAGTGGGATACCACGCTTTAACATAATTATATTAAAGCGTGGTATCTCACTTAGACTAGGTTATAGTACCACGTTATAATCTAAATACTATACTATAGTCTGAATATCACGTTATAATCTAGATATCACACTATAATCTAAATACCACACTATGATTTAAATGTTACACTAAAATCTAAATACCATACTATAACTTAAATACCATGCTATAATCTAATGACTACAACCTGATCACAACGCTTTAATCTGAATACATAACCTGGTTACCACTCTTTAATCTACCCTTTTTATTTTAATGTTACCTCTGTTCGCATTCTAGTTATATATTTATACCTTTCTTGGTATTTGCATTTTTCTCATATGTATGATTTTGTTACCACGTTATAATCTAAATACTACTCACGTTTTAATCTAACTACCTCTCTTTTCTTCTTGTTTCTACTCCACTTGTAATTTAAGTTATATATTGATGATACTGATCTCCTACGCCTGAATGGATGTCAAATTCTATTTTGAAGGTTGTTGGCCTTCTGTAAGTATTTGGATATCTGGTTGTATGTTGAGGGTGCTGGCCTTCTGTGCCTGATTTGGTTCTCAGTTCTATATTATTGTGCTTACCCTTTGGTTGTCCGCCAAAATGCTAAAATATGGTAAAAAAATTCTGTTATCACATGATATAAAAATCGTTACGGTGTGTAATGGTTTTTTCAAAAATATTGGGTATGCCGTAGGCATATTGAGCTTGGTTGCCGGGTTGGTGACCCTCATGAAATATTTAATAAATACATTCGTTTTATAAATGATCACAAATTGGAGCACTGAATTGAGAACTCTGTTTTCAAATTATATTTCTAAGGTATTTCTGAAAGTATGCTGAGGTATATTTGTAGGATGTTGTAAGCACTTCCAAGGTTTGATCATGGTTTAAACTGGGTCGAGGTAGTATGTATGCTATTTTTTTTGAGTGTCCCTATAAAAATTCTCTGTCCCTATAAGAAAAATTCATGGGGACACTCATAGGGACAATCTCAATATCATTTTTGTGTCTCTTAGTCTGATTTATTGAGTTCTTTATTACTTGTCCTTATGTCTCTATGAGTCCCTATGAAATATAAAAGTTCTAGGAAAAAAAATCGAAATTTTTCTATGGTATTCATATGGCTTATATGCGATATAGTATGATACATATATGCTTAAAAAAAAATAAAAAAAAGGTAAAGAGCTCAGAAATTCATAGGGACTCATAAGGACATAGGGACAAGTAGTAAAATTGCCTTCCCAGAGTTCTAAAATTCTCAGTTTGCTATACTAACGGCGTCCTTGTTAAGTTTTTTTGCCGTCCCTATAAATTTTTCATGAGGCCAAATTTTTGATAAGTCATTAGGGCCAACTTATAGTATTAGGCATTTTCATTCTATCGAGAGCCTACTCATTCTGAAGCATCTTAGCCAACTTCTTCCGGTGATAATTTGCTTTCGAATGGAACTTATTTACATGCAAATTACAATATCCATATTTTGATGCTGTCGGTCTTATACACCCATCTTATTTGCATAGAGGTCGCTGGCATCTTTTCTAGTGAATACTACATCCTTCTGATCGCGTACTTCCATTTCCACAAACTATTCCTTCATCAGAGGGATACTGGCAAATGTATTTACCACCCATTTGTTTGTCAGAAGTGCGTATCTTGCAACTAAAGCAACTATTGCCTATTTGTTGCCAGTACATGTATGCTGATTTCACGTTCGAGGTTGGAGGTGCGATATGTATTATTGTGGCTGGCCCATTTATACCATACCTGAATACATGTCTAGAAATATGGGACCTTCTTCTGAATTTTTGACATGATTCGTCCTAGTTGTCCTGGTTATTTTGGGAACTAAGACGGGAACTAGGACGGATTCTGATATAGGAGAAAAGCTTCTTTCTTTGTTTTAACTTGTTTTTTTTATACTTGTCCTAGTTGTCCTAGTAAAAATAAAAATTTTAAAAAAAAATCGTAATCCATCCTATGGTATATGTATAATATATATATGCTATATGTATGCTATATATCGGTATATCTATAGGTAAAAAAAAAAAAAAAAAAGAAGTCCAAAATTTACTAGGACAACCAGAACAACTAGGACAGACTATTTCTTTCCCTTTCATTCGTCTTAAAATTACCATCTAGCTATATTTCATCCGTCCTAGAAAATTTTGACAACTAGGACGGAAACTAGGACGGAATTTCTAGAACAGTTTGCTAGAATATATTCTGGATTTTTACAAGCTTTTTTCGATGATAATGTTCCCTTGATCTATGTTTTTTTGCATGTATATCGCAATAGTCATATTTGCCTCTTGTCGGCTCACCGCATTCCTTGCAAGGAACCTGCCTAGAATTCTGATGAACTTTACATCCATTTGGATCATAGCATCTCCGATTACATACTTCTCCAGTCCTAAGAATATATGGACAGTAATAAAAATGCCAGCGTGTCTGCTTTTTTTCGCCTCCCATTTGTATAGATCAATTAATAATCTTGGGGAATTAATTTCATTTTGAACTTTTTTCTTACGATTATTATACCTTAAGTTTTGGTATACTTTGATAATATATCCGAAAAAATGACTGAACAATCCGAGCTTTCAGAGTTCCTCGACGCGCCCTCCGCCCCATGTGGGTTTAAAGCCTCTGATATAGGTGCATCTCTATATAAAATTCGTGATGATAGTGTTAGACCAAGGCATTTTCTAGGCGCAGATAACGAGAATGAAATAGAAGCCATACTCTCAGATCGTGAGGGGCATTCCCTTCACGAAATCATCGATGGCGATGAGCCACTTCGTCCCATCATAGATTTTGATCTGCGACGAGAGATATATGATTCCATCGAACCTAAAATCCCAGGTAAAGAGATATTAGAATTACTTAAATGTGCCTTTAGAGATGTCTGCCTTGAAATATTCCCAAAATGGGATAAAAACACTATAACTATCGCCACTAGTAGTGATGTGAAAAAAATGTCATTCCATTTCTCTACTACTGGTATGAGACTTCCAAGCATTGCTAAGGCTTCAGTTTTCACTGAACTTGTTCGTGAGAAACTCCCAGTAGGGTTGCAGAAAAAAGGCATCATCGATAACGTAGCAAATGTAGGTCCTTCCAAATCTTTCTCTCTAAGAATACTCGGAACACCCAAATACGATGAAAAAACAGACAAACACGTTCGTATTAAAAAAGCAATGTATCCAAAAGATGGATCTACCTTTGATTTTATGATTCGCCCTCCTAATGACGAATCAGAAGTCGTTAACAGTCCTCTCTTGGCCATTTCGGAGCCAGAAGTCAAAAAATATAATGATGATACAAATAACGAAACCACCGAGGCTGAATTCGAACTAGTAGAGAAATTGCTCCAAGAAGCTAACATCGAAGGGTTTAATCTCTTATATCCATCAGATGACTTTCCTAATAAATTTCCATTAATACGCAACTCCCCATCGCACTGTCCAATATGTGATCGGGAACACGAAAGTAAAAATGCCTATATAATACGAAATAAAAAATCCTACAGCTTTTTCTGCTACCGAGCAAACCAAGATAGGCAACCCGGATCCGGAAAGCCTTCAAAAAGGCTTACTATTGGTGAGACAGCCTTAGATAGGGAAAAAAAGCTTCCAATTCCAGAGAAACAGGGTCAGCCTAGAATTTCTGACCCTAATGATCATTTCGTATGGTGGGATTTAATATCCATGTGTACCTCTAAGAAAAGATTTACACGTAATAAAGTGTATAATACAATCCAAGCAACGATAGCTTGCGTTCAAAAAAAATCAAAGACATGGATTTTCAAGCACAAAAAATCAGATAGTGGCCTATACTTTGATATGGGATTCAAGTTAGATATCGGTAAATTAACGATTAATATCATTGAGTTAGGTGGAGAAGCGATAAAATTACAATCTTTAATAGAAAATGCATTCAATACTGGTTTGATTGCTTATGCGGATATTGATTTCCTACCATATCCTCCAAATACTATTCTGCCGAAAACTGAATTCTTCAATCTTTTCTTAGGATTCAAAGTAAAGCCAGCTTTCCATATTAATTACGATCTCGTAAATCCAATTATCTGGCATATAGAATATATCTGGTGCAATGGGGATAAAAATCTTTCCAAATATGTTCTGAAATGGTTTGCATTTCTAGTTCAACATCCTAATATAATCCCTAGAACTATTCTTGTATTACATTCTCCACCACGTTGTGGGAAAAACATTATTACCGATTTCATTTGAAAAAGCTTATTTGGTCCAGAGCTCGTATATTCAACTTCTGACCTTAGAAAAATTCTTGGAAAATTCAACAGTGCTATTCAAGAACGCAAGCTTATAATTATGAATAAGGCGGAAATGGCCAGTGGTGAATGGTATAAAGCAAATGACAATCTAAAGTCTCTTATTACAGAAGATTACGTCTCGATTGAGCGTAAGGGATTAGAATTTCAAGAGTGTGATCATTATTCTGGATTTATGGTATTAAGTAATCATGATACCTAAATTCGAGTGGAAATAGGAGATAGACGTATTGTATGTTTAGATGTTTCTTCCCATTGTAAAAGTAACTTCACATATTTCGATCAGTTGGGGAAATTCTTGAGTACCCTGATACACCAGGATCATTTATGACATATTTGCTTAATCTTAATCTTTCAGGATAAAAGCCACGTAAGATTCCACCAACTAAAATGAAGATAGAAACAATGCGAAATCAGCTTTCTAATCCCATTCGATTTATAATTGACCATATTGCATCTTGGGCTGAGAGTAGTGGAATCAGGACCAGTAGCAAAGCATTTTTATACCAAAAATATCTTGAATGGTGTGGGGATAATGGTGAAAAGGCATTACCTAATAACATTTTCGGTAAGAAGCTATCAGAGAAAAATATTACTGAATATAACAAGTACGAG